CCGGACTTGAACCGTTGACCTTGTCTGTGGGGGCATGGGAGCTTAACCGCTAAGCTATGGGACCCATACCCTATTATGTATATCTATTGATTTATATATATGCTGAATTCATATATGAAAAATAACCAAAATTTGATAAATAAATCACATGGATCAATTAAACTTAAGATTTTGTGGACGGATACCACTTAAAGCACTATATAACAAAGATGTTTAATGAACTTATTTTTTAATTGATGAAAGGTTTCATCAAATTATATATCTGACAAAACTTTGGTAATTGACAAAACTATTGACAATTAACAAAACTGTTGACAATTGACAGAACAGTTAATGAAACTATATTATTGTATAAAAATAAAAAATTACTCTATAAAAAGATAATATATGGCTTTATTTATTATCTTTTTAAATTTCTATATGTTTTTCTAAGTACTATAGGTAAAGTTTCTACAACTTCATTTTCATTTTCTATAAGTTTAAATTCTCACTAATAATATCATCTAAATTATTTTCATTCATTATAATATCTTTATTTACATTATTACCATTCTTACTAGTATTTACATTTTTACTATTTTCATCTATATCATCTATTATATCTAAATTACTATTATCACAATGATTACTATTGTTATTATTTTTATAATTCTATTCTTTTACTAAATCTGTTGCTAATTCTATAGAATCAAAATCGAATATATCTTGACCTTCTTTGCTACTAACAAACTCTTCAAAGTTAAATTCATTATACTCTTTAACATCATAATTTTGAAATTCATCACTATCAATATCTGATTCATTATCTTAAAATATTTCATTATTTAAACATATTATATTTTTAATATCAAACTATTCAATTATTTCTAAATTATTTAATTCAAGTTTTTCTACTTTGAAATCCTCTATAATTCTTTCATCATCTTCAAATAGAAAAGTTGCCAATACTACTTGTGCTTGTAATTCATTTAATGATAGTGTTTTACTATAAAAAGCAAGTTCTTTCTTTATATTTGAAACATAAAAAGATCTAACTTGTGCCAATGCTTGAATTCAAAATAAAGAAAGTTGATATCATTATTTTTCATATACTTAGGCTAATAATGAAAATATTCTTTTATACTCAGAAGCATGTGGTGTAATTGAAAACACTTTTATTGCAAGTTGTTCAATAGATTTGAAACCAGTATAGTTTATCATCCACCATAATAATGGAATATCAGTTTCAAAACTATAAGATAAATTGAATCCATCTTTGTTTTCTTTAAACAAATGCATATAACCAACAAAACTTGCATATTCATATTGGTCATATCCTTCATATTTTCATATTTGAATCACAGTTTTAGCAATTTTATGAAATTGTTTTTCATATAATCCAGCATCTTTTAAATTAAACATTGTATTAATTTATGAATACTTAATTTATTAAAGTTCAAAAATATAACATATTATGATAATCCAGATATAAAAAATAAGCTAATAAGTAAACATCCATATTAAAATCATTACATTGTTTGTTAAAAACATGTGTACAATAGTTTTTAAATCTATTAATTTGAAGACTTGATAGTTTTTTAATATTAACTGCTAAACTAACAAATTGTATAAAACAATCTGCAAGTGTTGTTGATTGAGTTTCTAAATTCATAATTGCATTTCGAAGACTTTAACTAATATTTTAAGATCAGAAAAAAAATAAGGTAGCTTTAAAATTTGTTTGACACTACGATTCATAATTAAGTTTGGATTTTTATTCATAATCTGTATATTAATATTTATAAAATAAACTTAGTTATTTATTATTATAAACTATAATAATTACAATAACAAATATATTATTTTAATTAGTACATGCTCAAGTCAACTAATAGATAATATACAATCATATGCTAAAGTCCATCTTATATTAATAAATTTTTTCAGTCTACCACCAGGAATATTTAATTCATTAATTGCTTATTGTAAATAAGCATTTGGTTGGCATAATTTTTTGAAATATTTTATAATTTCATTATATCCTTTTATAAGACATGAAGCAAATACATGTTCTAAAAAAAATATATCAATAATAAATAATAATTTTATATTAATTGAACATATTTTTTATTACTTACTAAGAACATTCTTAGATATAAGATTGATACAATGTGTGATGCAGTTTAAATTTAAAATTTTAAAATGTTTTTCGTGAATAATTTGTCAAGCATATCTCATATTGCTTGCATTATCTGTAACATTTGCTGTAATTTTATCATACCTGATTTTATCTAAAATATTATCAATTTTCTCAGCAAGAAATTTAGTAGTATGTAAATTTGTAGAAAACTCTTGTAATGAATATAAATATTTATTATGCATGAATTTTAAAATAATAAAACTATATATGGAGTTTCCATTAGGAGATGTCCATCCATCTAATGCTATAACAAATATAATATAATTGAATAAAAAAATATAACATAATTTATAAATTAAATTATCAAATTCAACATACTGATAGTTAGATTATCTGATTTATATAAAATAGTCTCATATTTAATTATAACTTTAAAGTATTCCTGATCTAATAATCATCCTGCTAGAATTTTTCTTGATGGTGTATCATAATCTGAACACAGTGTTTGAAGCAAATCGATAAAATATAGATTTTCAATTATTGAAAATGAAATCCCACACATTACAAAATCTTTTAATAATGTAATATTTATAATATTTATTTGTTTCTCAGACAAGCCATCTCCAGTTTTTTGTGAAAAATATTTTGTAAGATTATGTTGATTATTTGATTTTTGTTTTTTTGAATATTCAAATTGCTCTTCTAAATTATCACAACAAGTTACACAAAATAAATAAAATTGCCTAACATGTTTTTCAACATTAGGACACTGTAGTGCAAGATGAGCTTCAAGTTTTACTGGTTCACCTTTTGATCATTTAGTTACACAATAAAAGCACTTTGCTGAGTAATGTCCATATGACTTGGTTTTCTCTCAGTGAAAAAAATTCTATACTGAAGATAAGACTCATCCTTCTGCATGTATTTCAGTTGATGTATTCGATTTAGAAATATAAGTTGATATTGAAGACCTTGGTGATTCTTTTCTTTCAAATATATATGATAATGAAAGTATGTTAAATTTTCATTTGTTTGATGTCATTTTTTTTTTTAGAAAACAAGAACATGTATTGAAAGTATTTATTGGAATAATTTATGTATAACAATATTACATAAGTATAAATCAAGGATATACAAGTATAAATTTTTTTTTTCTTTTTTTTTTTTTTTTTTTGAACAAATATAATATATATAATATAGTATATTAAAAAAGTAATGACAAATTATTGGTTCAGACTAATGTTGTTAGACAAAACCTAAGGGTTTCATCATTGACGAAAGTTGAAACCTAGTTTTGTCTTTCATTAAAAAAAAATTGAAATGACGAAATGATGAAACTGATGAAAGGTGACGAAACTGACGAAAGGTGACGAAACTGACGAAAGGTGACGAAACTGATGAAAGATGATGAAAGGTAATGAAACTGATGAAACTCTGATCATTTCCGATTGTGGGGGTCATCTAAAGCCAGGTGCGTTTACGTGACCAATAGCCAATCAAATCATAACATGTGATCTTCTCGGATCAGCCCGACAAGACAAAAACAAAGAAAAAAAGCGAAAAACATCGGGAAGATGATTTTACTTATAGGACATACCCTAACTCCTTACCCTAATTTTAATCAAATAACCAAAAACATATAAACACACCTGGCTTTGGCCATCCCCCGATTGTGGGAGTGATTGTTCATGTGTTTGTTTTGCGGGTT